GTTCTTTTTCTTGGAAAGATTCCCCAAACACTTAAAGAGGCTTTTCCAAATTATCGTGAACATAACAAGGCAATTATTTTTGTCTTGGAAACATGATTTGCCCCTCCCCCGAAAATGCAATCGTTTACTATCAGAAGTGAATAGACCATCATAGCTTCTGAGTTCGGACAAAATGGGCAACGTCAGAAGTAAAACATTGAAACTGCCAAAGAAGATTTGAATAAAATGGCAAATTTATGCATTGCGAAATAATGCTGAGTTAATACAAAATTCATCCTGCTTGCGAAAAACAACAAACAAAAGGTTTTTTTTAAAGCTAATAGCCTAAATTGCGACTGAAATTTCAAGTGATATATTATTTGTTAGCGTATAGGGATGTTACCCATTGAAGCAATTTGCTCTTGAAAGATTTTAGAATTTTGGCAGTTTTTTAAAAGTTTGATGTAGTAGTTTGATGTAACTTTGGAAATCCTGAAAGACTAAAATAAAAGTCTTCTACCACCAACTCTTCCAGAGGATTTCTGGTTCGAGAATATTTTAAGTGCATCCATGGTGCAAAGACACTCTACAAAAATCCATGTCTTCTTAGGGATTTTAACACAGGTTTATCAGCATGGCTATCTGTACCGCTAACTACCATAGACCGTTAACTATCACAAAGCTAAGCCTTTCACTTTATCAGATAGCAGCATAAGTCATCTTAAAATTAATTACTAACTTTGTTTTTTAACATTCTGAAGCATTAAATAAATAGTTATTTCGAGAAATGGTATTTTTAGCATAATGTTGACATAATTTATTAAATTATGATTTTCATAAATAAAGAACGTTCTTTGATGATGGAAATGAGCTGACAAAAGCAAAAGTTCCGTTTCTATAAAATGACGAAAAAAAAAATATCATTTATCTCTTGAAGCCTATTCGAAGCACATCCAGTAATTGTTTTGTTATAATTCACTGTTTACCAAAATCTGATGCATTTATCTGCCTCATCTAGATTCATTACACTGATATTATATTAAAACACATTCTAATACTTCAAATAAATTATTTATATAAAAGAAAATATAAATATTTTAAGTACTAAGAAGAAGTAATTTATAAACTTAAGTGAATGACTACTTTTGAAAAGAAGGTTTAACGTCTGTTTAAACTTATAAACTTTATTAAATTACGATTATTTCAAACACTCCACTTGATCTACGTTTTATTCCTTGATAAGCTTACCAAATCCTAAGCTTTCACGTCGGAAGATTTCCTGGCTGTTTTTTAAAGACACGCCAGGCAAAGTGCAGGGAAAATCCACTTACCTAAGCAAGGAAGTTTTACTGCTTGAAAATTAGATCACTCCGAAGAAAAGACAGAATACTCGATGAGGGCTTAGTTTAGAATGCTCAAATAAAATCCCCTTTGTATGAATGGAGTGGGAAAGAAAATATTCTAAAAGAATACAGAGGCATAAATCACTGAGAAAAATGATTCCCATGTAAAATGACAATCCTTTGAACAGAGATTAGTTAGCTTAAGATCTATAGTTTTGTATTTTTGTTAAATTCATTTTCAAAGGACCTAAATAGGACCTAAAATAGGACTTTATTAAAGAAAGGAAAGCAGAATATATATAACATATTTATCTATATTTAATTCTCGGGTTTCAAGGAGAAAATACTGTCGGCCTCTGAAAAATTATTTAGCAGCTTACTCTCATCAAAAAGACTAATAAGGCATTGGATCATTAGATTAACGCAAGGCGCATTAAGGCCCTTCGCTTATAGGATGGGATGCCTCCTTAGAGTGCTTCTTAAGGAAACTGGATCATATTTACGTTACACATGTGGAAAACCTTCAACACACCAGTATTAGAACCCAAATTCAATAACTCCTGTTTAGAGGCTTTATCCACTTTTCCATTAGTAGAAAGGTACTAATAGAAATTAACAAACTTTGAGAAATAATTTTTCATAGTTTTGTGAGAACATTTTGTGTTGACTTCTAAAAACGTTATCGAAGTTCAACATTTTCTACTTTGAAAATGATATTTAAATAAAACATCAAGATTAGAGAAATACAGTGAATGGACAAAAATATGGAAACACCTTGTGAAATGCATGTTTGAAAAGAAAGATTGATTTTAATGAAATATGTAGGTGGCGCTGGCGTTTTTGACTACTGACGCCACCTATACAACTTCGTAAATGTGCTAAACAGTTCAGTTGTTGTCGGAGTACTGTTATGTGAGGTTGTCATTGCATTATGTCAGAGTTAACAGACTTCGAACGTGGGCAAATTGTTGGAGCACGTATGGTAGGTGCTTCCGTAAGCAAGGTAGCCGAGGTGTTTAGTGTTTCAAGAGGTACTGTATCGAAGATTTATTCCGCATATTTGAAAAGCGGAAAAACATCATCTGCTAAATCACAGCGCGGACGAAAGTGTGTCCTGAGTGATCGTGACAGACGATCATTAAGGGCAATTGTGACGAAAAATAAGAAGACCACAGCTGCAAAAGTTACTGCTGAAATGAATGTTGTGTTACCGAACCCTGTGAGTACCAAAACAATTAGAAGGGAGCTTCATAAACAGGGAATTGCTGGCCGTGCTGCAATTGAGAAGCCACTCATCAGTGATGCTAATGCCCGTAACAGGAAAAGGTGGTGTTTAAGTCATAAAGCCTGGACTATAGAGCAGTGGAAGCGAGTAATATGGTCTGACGAGTCTTCTTTCACATTGTTTCCCACTTCTGGCCGAGTTTACGTCTGGAGAACGCCATCTCAAGCCTATAATACAGACTGCTTGTTGCCAAGAGTGAAACATGGCGGGGGTTCTGTTATGGTTTGGGCAGCCATATCGTGGTTCTCTGCTAGCCCCATGATAACTGTGTCAGGGCACATGACTGCCAAGACTTATGTGAACATTTTGGCCGATCAAGTTCATCCCATGGTACAAACTTTGTTCCCCGATGGTGATGGTGTCTTCCAAGACGACAAAGCCCCTGTTCACACAGCTCACATTGTCCAGGACTGGTTTTCTGAGCACGAGGATGAGTTGTCCCATCTCCCCTGGCCACCACAGTCACCAGACCTGAATATTATCGAACCTTTGTGGTCTACATTGGAACGGAAAGTGCGTTCTCGTTATCCACCGCCAACATCGTTATCTGAACTTGCCACCGTTTTGCAGGAAGAATGGTATAATATTCCCTTGGCAAACATACAGGAACTGTATTTATCCATTCCGAGAAGACTGCAAGCTGTTTTGGATGCCAACGGGTTTCCTACACCATATTAAGCAAAGAAACATGTTTTTTTAAAGGTGTTTCCATATTTTTGTCCAACCCTGTAATATTTACTGTGTTTTTTTTTTATATTATAAAATTCTTGCATACTAATCTCTGGTCCTTGTTCTGTCGCCCTTTTCTGCTCAATCACTTAAAGACTGTTCATTTTCCTATGCACGTTTTGGCGCTCAGAATTTCATATTTCGTCGATTATCCGTTTATCTAGTCAAGGAACATATTCAGAAAATTTTCATATTTCATCGCTTACCTCCAGATGTGATGGACAAATTTTAATTAAATTTGTATGACATATACTGATATTATAAAATATCTATCCATCTATCTGTATGTATGTATATATATATATATATATATATATATACATGTATATATACATATATATACCATGGAACCGTCATGGTACAAATACATAATTGTAATTGTAAGTACGGCTCATCGGTGCAGTACTGGTCTTTTTTTATTTTAATGGCCTTTTTACTGATTACAGAGTCCGAATTAACACGCCTCAGTGTCGCATTAACATTTGGGAGTGTCGTCTCTTAGGAGACCCCGATTTAATGCATTTATTGCTTTTATATAGACCACAAATTATCAATGTTATCGCCCCTCATGTGAGTATTAAGATTGTCATTTTGTTTCCCCCTGTTAGTTATACAGAGTCCTGCTTGAACTCAAATCGAACAAGAACAGACATGCAATATACATATTTATTTTGCGAACATATAAAGCACTATATATTTTTTCTTTCTTTTTGGAAAGATAACTTTTTATAAATTAATAATCATTTTCTCACACATAAATTTTTGAAATAATGCTTTTTAAAAGTTTAACTTTTGATGAATAATGTATTTTAAGGAGCCGGGTACCTTCAAATTGTTTTTAAAAATCGAAATTTTTAATGGTATATATTTAATTCGATTTTTTACAAGCATTTTAAAGTAAATTCCATGTAAAAATTCTCTCTAGAACCAAAATTATAATAAAAACATTATTCTAAGCTTTCGAAACTTAAAAGGCCATATGATTTCTTTACATCTGTTATTTGAACGAATTCCTGACATTAAACTATCTATATAAATGCTTCTGTATACAATTGTATACAAATATATAGTTACATGTGATTTAAAAGTTAATGCATTTAAAAGTTAATATATTAGTATATCTATTTATACATTTATTACTTTTAAGAACGTAATGTTGTTACAAGATTCCAAGATAATAACGTCTGCAGTTATAATTTTATATAAGTGTGATTTTATTTCTTGTGTACACGACATCACTAAATTGGTTGATTAGAACGTGAAGAAATTTTGATGAATTCTGCAAACATTATATCAATATAAAATGAATAGTTATTGTGTTTCTGACATAAAAATTTCTATAACTGTAATTAAACTTGAAAGTGTGTAAAAATTTCGACTCGTCACATTTCATGTTTTAATTAAAGGTATGGTGAGTACGCATGAAATGTTAATAAAGTAAAAGTACCAAAGCTATTACAAAAGATACTGAAATATGAGTTCAGGTTTGTTAAAATATTTGACGTATTTGGACATTTTAAAGATACATGACTTCTTAACAGTTCGGTAGTTTATCTTAATAATACCTTTAAACAATCTAATTAAGCAAATATTACTAAAGTTTATTAGCGATTTTATTGTAGAGTTGGGTGATTGAATTACCCTAATTCATTATTTTGTTTCAGATCTGCCTCCAGAATTGCTGGGCTGAGAATGGAACAGACATCCCTGTGCGTTGCCGAACAGAACGTGGCATTGCCTTGACCTTCGAGGCTTTTAAACTGGATACATGTGCTCGATGTTACTTCTATCTGCCTCCCTGGGCTTTTATTTCTAGTGATCGAAAACTTCAGTATGTACATACTATAATATATCTATAAACAGTAAAATCATTATTAATTAAATTTCTATTTTGCATTCAGTGACTTTCGCTGCAGTTCTGCGCTTTTATTTTATTTGTTTTGTACACCAGGACAAATTAGATGCTTATTTTATTGATAAAGAAGCTCAAAGAGTAATAAATAGCTGTTTTATTCCTATCAGAAGTTCAGACTCCAGTATGACTAAATTCAGTGACTAGCCTATCATGCAGCACTACAGCTGATCTTTTATAACTTAGTAAGATTTAAAAAAGAACATTTTCGTATTTAAAATCTTAACCAAGAATGTTCATGCAATTTTCGTCAATCATGGCCTACAAAAATATTAACAAGTTTATAAATGCCCATTTTAAAAAATCCTTTTTTTCTGGAATCGAAAATTTGTGATACAGCCTCTGTGACATCGTTGCGTTTTTGAAACTGCTGTTTCCTCAGGTGGTTATTTATGGGCAGTTAATCCGATGGGAAAATGTCCGTGGTATAGGGTGGCTGAGGCAGTATATCCCAGCCCGAGGTTTTAATCACCTCTTTTATCGCTTTTGCCGTATGATGTCTGGTATTATCTTGCAGGAAGAGAACTCATCTTCTGTTGACGAATGTTAGTTACTTGTGGCGCAGTGCAACTGAAATTCTTTGCACTTGTGACGAGCAGACCTCGGCGGCTGTTATGAATTTTCCACTTTCTAGATATTCATAGTGGATTATACTAGCGCTGGTCCAAAATTTTGTTTAAGAACGAAACTTTATTATAGCACGACAGCCAGGACATGCAGACGTTCAACCGTTGGAATTTGCTTTCCTCGAACAAGACTTGAGGAACCCACTTGCTTAGTTTGCATGTCAGCCCAAGGTCATGAAGATGTAATCGAATGGTTTCGTCAGGTTCTCCAAATCTGTGTGCCAACTCCTGCCGGGTCTGATGAAGTTTCTGCGTGATTTCCTCCTCCAACATGAATTTGTCGAACGTGGGATAGACGACTAACGTGAGGCTTGTCTTCAAGGCTCTCTTCTCCAGAAGAAAATCGGCTAAACGACTTTTGAGCAGTCCTTTCACTTAGTTCCGTCTCTCCAAATGCGGATCATATTCTTCTAACGCCCTCTACTGCTTTGTTTGCCAAGTTTGTACTCGTAAGGAAGAATATGCCTTTCCTTTTCCAATGAATGTTCTTTCAAAATTTGCACTTCCAACAAAACCGATAACGAAAGGTGCGATGCACTGAACAACTACCCACTGAATAAGGTTTGAAAGGAATGTAAACATATGATGTCATCAGAATCAATTTCGCTATACTAACGCAAAATTAACTATTCTCCAAAACCGCACGAACATTCTTTGTAATCTATTGTTTTCATTTTAGTTGTAAGAAAACTTAACCTTATTTCAAAAAGCTTATATAGTATTTTACGTTTCAAATTTTTAGATATAACCCAAGAAACGGATTGCTGTTTGACAATGGCACAAACACGAGCTATGCTGCAGATCCTGACAATACGACTCAAACAGTTTACGATACATTTCAGTCAGATTTGTTTGTAAGGAAATGGATGGCTTGCTGCAGGGCAGCACTCGAATGCTGCCACAAGATAACATCGGATCCTCTGCCAGTTTCAGGTAAGTTTTGGCTTTTACATCTAGCTAGGTTATTAATTAAATAGAATTTATTGCCAGCTACTCTCGATATAAATTAAATTTTGGGCTATCTAATATTAAAATTTTCGTTACAGTAAACCATTTATTGCGGTATGAATTTCTGTAAGTATTTTTGCTGTAAGTATTTCTGTAAGTTTCGAAGACTTTGCGAATAGGGGATTGTCCAGCAAAAGTCAAATAAATCGAACATTTTCAGATTTTTTGGGTATTATTTTTTAATTTTTATTACAATTTGCTGGATACCTTTTACGCTTAAATCACTGTTTTGCTACTTTTAATGAAAAGTAGCAAAACAGTGATTTAAGTTTCAGAAAAAAATGTACTTCTATTCAAAAACTCAATGAACTTTAAATTACCAAAAACCTTCCTGGATTTCTGGAATACGAATAAACGATCATTTCAGAAGTTGCATAAAGTAGTTTTCCTTTATCTATCAAAACGATCAAACAAATCGACATTATATTCTGTATTGCCCATTGCTAATGTTATATAAACAACATAAATTCATACTTAATAATTACAAATGAACACCATATTTGAGAAACAACTAGAGAAAAGTTCATTCTGTGTTATGCGGTAGGTAACTGTGTGTATAAGTCACTTAACTGAACATATCAATCAATATTTTAACAATAACGTACTAAGTATTGTGAGCAGTCATAGTGAAACATAAAAACAAAATATGTAAACAAATCAATAATTTGCATTGTGAAGTAATATGTGTTAACAAAAACCCGTTCTATGTTTAAGGTCCAGTGTAAAAGGATAATTACAATAAATACAAAACAGGATAATAAAATCAACTTACGTTTATTTAAGGTAGGAAATATATTATGATTACAAAACAGAAAAGAGAGTCATGACATTCACTATTGTGTTACAACAATTAAAACGTGGTGGCTGGTTATTGAACATAGCTGAAGAACACTAAATAAAACATACCTTTAAACAAACAAGGTTAGTGGGGGCCCCAACACCATAAAGGAAATTTCACACAAAAATCTTGAGACTTAAAAGGTAATATGACTCGGGATATCTTTACAGGCATTTCGGCATAACTATGGAAGGAAAAGATAGAAGTTAGCGTAACTGAAAGTAAACAAGATATGATATCAACATCGTCGCGGTCTGGCTCCGTTCTGCCGCTCAAACAGCAAATTCCGTCAAGAAGGTTCGTTGAGGTTATTTATATCTGTAGTCCCTTACTGAGAGGTTCAGGATAGTCACTTCAGTTTCCCTTCACGGCCTTAGCATATCGAGTATGATGTATATTTCCCGAACTTTCGGGGTCTGCCAGGACAGAAGATAGAAGAAGGTCTCTTCTCGTCGCTGCAGCTGCCTCAAGCTTCAGGAAAAAAAAATGTCAGTCAGGGTCGATCCATTCCTCCTCTCCGTCTCTCTTACTGTCGTCTCCGTCTCTCCCTGTCTCCTCAAGCCTCTCGAAAAACACTGCGCAGCCGTTTTAGTAGCTGGCGCGTTTTTTGAAAACTTGGCGTAAATGGTGACTAGCAGAAAGCCAAAAAGGCAACCCACACTCTGGATCTTCACGGGAAAGGGTTTCCCGACTACCAAAAGGAGCCGTTTCTCGCCATTCCATCCATTCCATCGTTCAACTTCCAAGGCCACACCAATGTGTCATCACAACTGCAGGCGGAAACAGGTGGAAAGAAACTAGCCTCGCTCCAGGGTCCCAGTCGATAATGCAGATCTTCTGTGTCAACTGAATATTTTCCCCCACCATAAGTATGCTGTAGAACATCACCCTGCTAGCCTGGTCCCAGCAAAACAGGGTCCTCTTTTCGTGAAAACCACATGGTAAAACTATCAAGCACTTCGGCCCCCCACACATGGTGGAACGCTTAGAAGAAAGGAATTTTGGGGTGCAGTACAATTGCTGATAAGAATTTTCCGCTGAAGGAAAGAGGGCAAGGGGTGAAAAAAATCTCTGAACTAAGTTAATACAAAATGACTTTGGGAAATTAAAAAAATATGAAGCTACTAATTACACAACATTATAATACATAATAAAAATGTCAGCACTGTAATAATTGTTTCCTCAGCCACCCAATTGAGACTAAACACAATTTATCCAAAAGAAATACAAATGAATCAAATTATTTTTCTTCTAACCGCCAGTCAGAAAGTATGTATTCGTTTTAAAGTTAAAAGAAAAGAGGGATATACCAATTAAATTACTCAAAGTTAAGAAAAAAAATTAAACACAAAGTGCAACAGCAAAGTTTTAAAATAAAATTAAAGTTAAAAGTTAAACAACCTTAAGGGTCAAAACAACTAGAACAAAAACAAAAATCTAAGTCCCTAAACTCAAATTAAAATTAAACAACTTCAACTCAGAACTTTTAAAAGCAACCTAACCAAAAACTTAAAAGTTTACAAAAGTTACAATTTAAACTTACAACCCACTTTAAAACAACAACAACAAAAAAATTAGAACTTCAATTACAAATCAAAACTGAAATAAGCAAAACAACTTAAGCTTAAAAAAATATATAACGATTAATACATAACACTAATTAATGAAGAAAATACCTGTATGTATAAGTACATCGTAGAAAAAAATAGCGAAATAAATGGTAAGTATGATCTAACAACTCTTTTGCCAAATAGACGAGCAGTTGCTACTGATTGCATTCTTTAGAAACAGTATTTTAAAGGCCTTGTCCCGGCGCAGACACTATGCACTTAAACATAATTCCAAACCTCCTCCTGGATTCTAGTTCGAGGTTGGCGATACGTCAGCCAATTTCGCTAACCGTTACATCGACCAGCGCGAATTTTGGCCCGAAACAACGATAGTGTACAGGTTTCCAGACTTGGGTTGTCTAATAAATGCAAATTGCAATTAAAAAGTAATATTATAATTTTTATTTACTTGCATGTTTATTGCATTTCTCTTCTTTATTTCTTGTGTATATCTTCTCACCAAAATGCTAATTTAAATCTTCCACCGCGAAACCAATTAACGTTTAACTCAAACCCTGAAACTCTCAGGAATTCATCGAAATTATCTGCGACTACAACACTAATTTTGCACTTTTTTGTGATAAAAATAGCTAAATATTTATGATAAATGTCTCTGCACAATATGACTAATTATACCTCAAAGTTGTTTAATAATTTTAATAATTTAATTTCAGTAAATGTCAAATTCTAGTAAATAAACTTGAAAAAGAGTTCATCAAATTATATGCAGAGAAAGATTTATGAAAAGTAGCCGGTTGTAACTTCTCTTTATAAAGTTACTCAGTATCAAGTGTAAATATCGAAATGTCATTATGCATAGAAACATGAAGCTGTTTCTGACAAGCTATCTAAATTTGTATTCTAAATAAACCTTTATTATTCATAACTTATTCAAATTTTCCGCTATTTGTTTGCACGAAATTACTATCTATTGCTTATGCATATTAGAGAGAATAAGTATACACATTTATCCTTAAGTTTCATCAGTATATCGTATAAGTTTATTATTCAGATGTCTGGCTTTAACAATTAAGTATATTAGTTAAGTATTCAGTGAACTTAACAGCTTATTTAAAGTTTAAATCAAGAGGAATAGTTAATGGTAAAGCTGGTTATCCGAAATATTTTGATATAACGTTAAATAGAAAGCGTGAAATATAGGTCTATTATTAGAATTATAAGAAGTTAAATGTTATCTTCCCGTGTATCTTTGTAGAACACTGGATTCCCCGGACAGTAAATAGAAAGCCGTGAATTCTATTCTTGGAAAACGCACGCATGGTTGAATTTTCTTTCCATCGGCTCCATGAAAACTAATGGCTGTCTAAAACTGAGAAAACAATAGTCAGGTCTTGTAACATGAAACATTTTTGTCATTATAAAATCAGATACGAGAAATAAACTATTATATAGCACCCCTTATGTACTTCCTGATTTTTATTGAAGCTTCCTATAGATTGCCATGAATTAAATTGTCACACAGCAATAAAAGAAAAAAATAAGAGCGTCTTTAGATGAAGATGTTTTTTCCTCTCTGTTTGCTTGTAACCTTAGGGATGTATACCTTGTAATACTCTGATAAGGTATTTAGAAAAAAATCGCATTTATATTTCCTGTTACTTATGGCTGTTCTTAAGGTTACTTGTTTATTTTTACGTAAGTATTTTATAAGTTCTTTTAACACATTTGAAAGTTTGTTTGTAATGAAATTTAGTTTATGTAATGCTCTTTCATATAATCTAGTTCTACCAACTCTTCATTCGCAACTTAAAACTTAAATAAACGCGCAAACATGGTGGCATTACTACGAGTACTTAACGATTAACTATATGAATTTTCTAGCTTAATGGGAGACTACAAGTAGCTTGCCCTGAACAGCGTATCTTTACGAAATTCGATCGTGTTCTTAGGATTATATTTCTCAGAAACTCAAGAGAAATCAGTAAGCATATAGAAACGAAAATGGTCGGCCCTAATTCCTTTTCCTACATTAGAAAGTTATTATACTTACGTATTAATGCAACCACTTTAGCTCAATTTAGTTCTTTTCTATAGATGGAAAGGGAAAATTTATTTATCAATGGATAAAAGGTATACTGCGAAAAAAAAGGGACAGTTCTATGTGTCCCGTTCTACTGGGCCTATTGAAGAAATTCAACTTGCGTTTTTAATGTCTCGAAAGCGCGACATAGGATATGTATTAGATTTATACATAGCATTGTTCTATGAAACATTATCAATATACATTTCAGCTCCTCAATGTTAATTGAACTTGATATATGTGTTTATTAATATCTCTTTTTTCATTACGCTTACTTGATTTCTTCTTCGAGAATTCAAAATTTGGTTTTATCAATATATAATTAGCACATTTTTTATGATTTATTTTTAAAATTTGTATTTTAAAATAATTTTTATGAATTTTTCGAAAACAATTTTCAATTATAACCCATAAAATCTTAAAGTAGATGTGCATC